AAAAATAACATTAGTGAATCCATTTTGCCTTTATCCACCATTTTGTGAAGCTAAGTTTCAATTGCTTATAAGTCACCTGATTTTGAAGAAGTCACAAGATTACCCCAAAGGTCACCTAACTTAAAGAATGTCAAAAAAACTATCCCCTTTCCCTCTTACTTAAGTGTCTCACTCCAACATTGAGAAATCAGATGTCTCAATCCTTAGAATCCTGTTTTTTACTCCTTCTTGACTGTATAGAAATCAAGCTTTGAGGTCCTTGGCAACCAAGAACTTTGGGCCCACTCTGTTTTGCAACCACATGCATGCTAATTAAATTGTCTGAATGAATCTGTGTTTCTCCCCACCCCACACACAAACTATTAATAGTTGGGGATGTAACAGAAAGGATTCCTTATAGACTTTGATTAGACTAGATGTCCTCTGACATTTCTTTCAACTCTAAGATTTTGTAACTCTGTGGGGAAAAATTTAAAAAAAAAGTTCACACAAATTCCATCATGTAATTGTGAAATATATTAAACCCCCCCGAGAATAGGTGTTTAGATTTGTCAGTATTTTTCCTAAGTGATATTAGATTTGTTCAGGCCTATGGAAATCTTTTTTGGAACCCAATTCTGTCATCTGGTGAGGTGGTTTTATTTTCTAACTTTGTGTCATATACAAATTTTATAACTACATTGTCTATGATTTCATCTGGTCATTGATTAAAATGTTGAATGGAATAAAGCCATGTACTGATCACTGGGGTTCTCTAGTACACCTCCCTCTGGAATGACATTGGTCCCTCTAGTCTTTTCATCTGATTGTTCAATCAATTAGGAGTCCCCCTAATTGAATTATTCTGTAGTACAAATCTTTCCTTTTTCATCATGAAGAAAACATGAAAGACTTTGCTAAATGTATTATTGGAGTCAGGCATAATGTGTCCACCGAATTCCCCTCATAAACCCTAATTAACCCTCTTAATAAAGGAAATGAAGCATGACCTAATCTTAATGATCTCATTGCTACTAATTACTGATCATTGTTTCTCTTTCTAATTGTTTAAAATCCATTCCTTAATCATTTATTCTAGAATTTTGCCAGGACTCAAAGTCCCACTCACTTCTCTATAGGTAGTTGCATCCATTCCATTTCCTTTTTGAGAACCATTAGAGAGAAATAGATTTTTCCATGTAAAATTTTGAACAGGTAGTACTACCAAGAATTTGTGTCACGATCCTCATTAACTCAAATTAAGATGGGTATATGAGGTACTCTATACTGGTATGCTCATTTTCCGTGAAACTGGAATGCTTGTAGAGTCATCCTTAAGTGAGTGATTTCAATGACTATTCACAAGGTAATTACTAAGCAATTGGTGGGATTGCTAATAGTCTGATCTGGTTACCCACAGAATAATTATTTTCATCATTATGGTAACTGAAACAGATTGACCAATCAAAAATAAGTTGATTGTTAGAACCTGACTACTGTGGTCTAATAAAAAGAATCGAGTTTCATAACAATTATTCCACTGAGCCATCACAGGGATTTAGGTGAAGAAAGTATCTCCTTTTTTTGACACGCATTTTCAGATGTTCTGAATGCTTGTTATACTTCCTATAAAATGCAGGGCATAAACAGCAAACATTTTAAAATATTTTAATTGTTTTCCATTCTGTTAAAAATCCTTTCAAAAAAAAAGAAATATTTGATTTTTGTTAAACAGGACAGAACTACATCAGTCTATGCATGGGTGCTTTTGTTTACAACCTTCCTAAGAGCTGTTGCTTAGCAACTGCATTGAAGAAGCTTCTAGTGCTCTAAATCACAGGCTGTATTCATACAATTTTAAGTTCTCAAAAAGGACTGGATTCTATGAGGAGAGATTTTGATATTCAGCATTTTGAGTACATTGGCAGCAATTATTCATCACACATGCATAAAAATAGATTTGAAAGAATGTATCTGTAAATATTCTATTTATTTTAAATAGTTATCTAAGTTAGTCTATACTGTTTAATCTGTATTCAGATTTTTTTTCAAACCTATTGTTTTAGAACTTACATGACAATAGTATACTATGTAGGCATTTCCATAACCTAAAATAACCTCATAGCAAGAAAATTATGATTTATTTAAAATAACTATTATTTGGTTGGCAAGCATTTACAAATATTATCCAAGCCAAACATTTTGTCTGCTTTTATTGCTGGAATATCATCTTGCATAGATGGTTTGTTGGGGTTCAGAAGTTGGGAACTCATAATATTAAAATAATTCCATTTCTTTCTTGTCTAATGAGGTCTCTAAGCCAGGAGGAGCAGGGTGTGGTTTATGTTCCCATGCCTCACAAGATCTTCTAGTTTTGTACTTTGTGAGTCTCAGGAGTTTTATGTATGTTGTAGTTAGTCTAAATTGAGATTTTATACAAAATGATTTTCTGTCATAATGATCAGTTTTCATGTCTGCATGTCCTTTGTCTCTTACTATGTAGACATAGCAGATTTCTCTGATTATGCCACTCTAGTCGAAGGATCATTGATCACAGCTGGAAGGGGCATCGGAAGATATCTAGTTCAATCTTTTTTATTTTATTGATGAGGCAACTGAGTGTCAGTTAGGTTAAGTAACTTGACCAAGATCACACAGGTTGTGAGTTAGAAAAGTTAGGAAGGAAAATTAATATTTATAATTGCTACTTATTGTGATTGATCTGTTTCCTCAATATGCTAAATAATGAGTAAAATGTAAATATAGGAAAAGGCATATGGTTATGTAAAAAGTGGCCACTCAAAAGATTAAAGCCCTTTTAATGATGTTTAATGATGATGATGCAGATGATGTGATAATGATGATAGCATTTATAGCACTTTAGGTTTTGCAAAGAACTTTACAAAAATCTTATCTCATTTTATCTTCACAATAACCTCAAGAGATGTAGGACCTATTATCATCCCCATATTATCCCCATACATTTGAGAAAACTGAGGGAAACTGATTAAGTGACTTGCCCAGGGTCTCACAAAGCCTGTCTGAGACAAGCTTTGAACTTAGACCTTCTCTCTCAGAGATTCTGTAGTTCAGAACCCTCTATTCTGAACCCTATATTTCTATCTGTTCTCATGCTTGGAAAGGCACGGTTGGTTTGAATGAGTTTTAGAGACTATTTTTTGTTGAGAATTAGAGAGATCTTTTGTAATTACATTTATGCCTTCCACATCACAACTTTCCCCATTGAAGTTTTGATATATTGAAGGTTGGGATAAGAAATTAAATTAGAATTCTTGGGGAATCTTGTGGAAGCCACAGCAGACATACAAAGGCCAGCAGACAACACAGAAAAAATTTTAAAACTTAGAAATGCATAAAATATATGTATTGTATACTATCAACCCAAAGTTTAAAATAAGCTACTGTAAACACCCCATGAAAAAATCAGACTTCCTCTTTGGTAGGAAGGGAGAGCCAAAAATTATAGTACAGGGGTGCTATACCCCTTACGCCCATGATGTGGAAGAATAACCCTGTATACATGAAGAATGACTCTAAAGACCTGATTTTTTTAAAAAAGGTCGTTACTTTGGAGTCAAACTTATTACTTTGTAGCTGCACCTTTAATCAACTTGGTGTAAAGAATATTGAATTGATAGATAAGAAACAATTCATTCAAACTTTTTGGGTTTGGATGAGTCATATAATCTATATCTATCTATCTATCTTTGGGATTAGGCAAGTCAAATGTATCTATCTCTATCCTCTCTATCTTTATCTCCTCTATGTCTATCTCAACCTCTGTCTATCTCTATCACCTATATTTTTATCAATATCAATATCTACATCTGTATCTATATGTTTTCTAGTTTATATTTCCAAGCTTTAAAAACCATTTGACTTCTTTTAAAACATAAGGAACATAGAAAAAATAATGAAATATCTCTGAAAATGTTCTTGAAGGAAGATGGTATATAGAGGTCTAGGTGACATCATGAAAACCTGGTTTCGTATCCCACCTCTGATATATACTGGCTATGTGGCCATGGGCTAGTCATTGAACCACTCAGTGTTCCAGATAAGCCTTCAAAACTGTAAGTTGTTTGAGTTGTTCATCTACATGTATTGATAGAGGGAGGTTCCATAATATTTCCTACACAATTGAAATCCTAGGTATGTTATGCCTCTCCTTATTCATTCCTTCCCAAATTATTCTAGTCAATCTTCATTTGTTAGGATCCTGAAAGGTTAAATCTTTCTCTTTCGCTAGTGCTGAAAGAGAGAGAGAGAGAGACAGAGAGAGAGAGAGAGAAACAGGATGTCTTCCTAGGAAGCAGGGAGAAGACTAAGAGCATAGGAAAACTTCCACTATGTCTATTTGACAGGAACCATCCAAATTTTATTAGATAGCTGGATATTACCATATGATCTGAAAATATTTTTATTGTTTTGAAAAAAAAAACATGTACACAACCTTACCTTTGGTGTAATGAAAAGAGCACTAGCTTTTTATTATATTTAAATCCTAGTTTTGCTCCTTACTAGTTCTATGACCTTAGGCTAGTCACTTACACTCTTTGAGCCTCAGTTTCCTCTTCTATAAAATGGGAATAATATTGTATGACCAACCTTCCAGAGATTCTATGAGGATCAAAGGAAATGTTAGATTCTGAGAGGACCAAATGAAATGATAATACTTTGAAAATTGTAAAGTATGGTGTGAATATATCACTTAAAGGTCAAAGCAGTCTATGTATGTAATGAAATTCCAAAGACCTTTAAGATGTTTGAAAATGTTTATGCCATGATGTCATGATTTTGTGAAACCAGTTTCAGTCTTTTATTTTTGTCTTCATGAGTGAAATTGAAGATAAAATTGCACAAGCATAAATTTTTTAAACAAAAAATTTTAAGATGTAGGTTAGAAATATGTGAAAAGAATAAACAATTTCATTTTAAATTTTATCTAACATGTTTTTTAATTATAAATGGGAACTAATTCATCTGCATTTTTTGAACAGATCATGTTGTCTGTGAAGAGGAGTTTAAGTATGCCATGTTAGCTTTAAACTGCATATGCCCAGCAACTTCTACCCTTATCACACTGTTGGTCCATACCTCTAGAGGACAGTAAGTATATATACACATATTTTTTTTCAATAATAATAGGATCTTAGAATAGAGGTGAGTGTGATTATTTAACTTGGACGTGTCATGAAGAAAAGATTTTTCGACTGGATTTTAGATTGGTATTGAATAAAGCAATATTACTTAAACCCAGGAATAAAGCCAATTCCATCACATTGACTCCTTTGCAAATCTAAATTATCTTTCCATTTTTAAGATTCTGGGTTTTATCAGTAACTTAAATATGGCTCAACGCTCAAAACTTTGACCAACTCTTAAGCTACTTTCTGAGCCTGGAGCTACAAGTAAGTAAGTAAGTGTTTGCATATTGCAAAGTGATTATAAATCAAAATGATGCCTGTTTTGTGAAGTTATTTAACTGGGCAAAAGAGAAGAGAAATCATAGCTTATGGAAAAGAAAGGTCACTTCACTGGCACATGTTAGGCACCTTGGAACTGCATAAAATTCAGAACTTGTTTTTGACTTTCATTTTATGAAATATACTGCAAATAGAAAAAGGTTCTATTTTCTGAAATTTCATACTCTTTACTTAGTACCTTAAGTAAAAATTCTAACTTTCCAAGTCAAATAAATTTATTGTTAAGTTTGCTTTCAGTTTTTCATTTCACATATTTATGGTCTCTGCAGTTAAACAAATTTAATAATTTGGCTGACTTAAGTCACACCTGGAATTTTCTCCCTTTGCATCTACATCTCTTGGCTTCCCAGACTTCCTTCCAGTCTCAGCTAAAATTGCATCTTCTTAAAGAAGCCTTTACTGATCCCCTTTAATGCTAGTGCATTCCCTATTGATTATGTCCAATTTATTCTTTTTGTCTTGTTTATAATAATTGTTTGCATATTATCTCTGAGAACTAGGAGTTTTTTTTCCCTAGGGTGAAGAGGTGCTTCTCTTTCTATCCCCAGATACTTTCATGGTGACTAGCACATAATATAGGCACTTAATAAATACTTAAATACTTGTTGGTTTTGCTTGACAAGACTCTATTCAGGTAAGATCTAGGGTAAGAAAAATGGTCTCTCGGAATCAGATGCAGCCATGCTGGAATGGAAAGAGGGAAGAGAAATAAGTACTATTAAGGGCCTATTATTTGCCAAATGCTACACTAAGCTTTACAAATATCTCTTTTGTCCCTCCAAACAATCCTGTGAGGTAGGTATTGTTATGATCCCCATTTTACAGATGAGAAAACCAAGGGAGACAGAAGTTAAGTGACTTGCCCAGGGTTCCACATCTAATAAAGAGTCTGGGGACAGATTTGAACTCAGGTCTTTCTGATAGCCGCAACACTCTATTCACAGCACCACCTAGCTGCCTCTATAACATCATACTGGGAATTTAAAAGATCTAGGCATGAGTCCTAGCTACATTCCTTTTCGTGGAATACGACTTTGGACAAGTTACTTTGCCAATTGGAGCCTAACCTTCCCATCTATAAAATAAAGGATTTGAATTTGTTGATCTCATTAGCAACACTTTGTTATTTAAGCACATACTTCATGCTAAATTGCCAACTAAAAACACAGCAGAGATTTAAAATATGATAGATAACCTAACACTGTTGATTCCAGCCAGAGTACTACATAAATGCATTGTTATTCTAAATAAAGATGAAGTAACGATTCAGAACTTTTAGATGTTCTCACATCCCGGCCACACCATGGAAAAAAAGCTTGGTAGCATGAAAAAGAGCCCTGAATTTGGAATCAGAAGCCTGGTCAGACTACCTTGGTTTGAATTCTGCTTTTAATATTTAGCACTTTTGAGACTTTGGGCAATTGGTATCATCTCTCTGGATTTTAGTTCACTCATCTGAAAAATGAAGAAGTTGGACCAGATGACCCACCTCATGGGTCTCTTCCGAATCTAAATGTATAATCTTGGTGTTTCTGTTATATAATCATAGAGTTTTAGAATTGGATGGGATCTTAGATATCATCTAGTCTAATATTTTGATTTTCTAATTCAAGAAAGTGGCTCTCAGATAGGCTAAGTGACTTACCAAAAGTCACACTGCTAGGTAATGGCAGAGCTAGGATTTTACCTTAGCCCCCCAGTTTATTGTTCTTGCTTATACAATAGGGTGCATTAGGTAGAATCCAAGACAGTGACCTGGGCAATCTTTGGAGGGAATGACATAGAGTTTCAGTTGCTATTCACCTAAAGGCACAGGTCACAGGAAATGGATCATCCACACTGAGCTATAATGACATGTTTTATTATTATTGAGGCACCCGAAAAGACCTTTGTTCAATTTTGTTTAATGATGCCATGGCTACAGATATTATTATAAAACATAATATTAATCGTAACTGCTAGGTAGAGATTAGATCCTCTTCAGTAGGTAGATGAGGTCTCTTTTTTGTATTATAAATCAATAAGGAAATATACTTTGATTTGAATGATCTTATTTTGCAGGGAATTTTTCAGAATTACATCTGTTTCATATGATGAGTGATGCCTATAAATACAACACATAGATAATTGTATATACTTAAGCCCATTTGGAGATGAATTTGATTCTTAAATGTATGTTTTGCTTTATTTTGACTATTTCTATATTTTAATATTTGTATATTTAAAAATACAGCAGAAACAATTCTATCAGTACTTTTTTCCAGACAATTCAAACAAAATACTTTGTTTTTTGAAACATAACTTTTTTCAAGGTTCAACTCAAGTGCTACTTTTTATGCAAAGCCCTTTATGATTCCTCTTGTTTACTGTTAGTATTCTTTCCTGCCTCAAATTGTTTTTATTAACTGTTTAAAAGTTGTACTACTCATCCACTCAACCCAATGGAATGTAAGTTCCTTGAGGGCAGAAACTGTTTTTTTTTTTGTCTTTGAATTTACTAAGAGATAGTGCACTCCTTTGCACAAAGAAGGCACTTAGTAAAAGCTTATTGAATGAATGAGTAAATGAAAATAACTAATATGACAAATTTAGCAATTTCCCACCCCCAAACACTCATAATTTGTTTTTTCAACAATGTTTATTGGCCAAAACTTGGATTACTTATCCTTGACAGTGACATTATAGTAATGATGTTGAATATTTAAGTTAATGGTTATTAGTAAGATCATTTCTTTTAAAATTTAGGACTTCTAGTGTGCATACTTCCAAAATGAATTTTGTGTATCTAACATAAGTAAACATTGTAGAACCAGACAATCCAAGTAAGTTCATTAATTTAGTAGGATTGGGTCTTACAAATGACTTTATATGTAATGTGATATTTTCCATATGAATAATAGTGGAGTTCTGTCTGTGGTTGCTGGAAAAATTTTATTTGGACAAAACTCTCACCTGATTTTGTGTGTATTGTTTAAAAAAAATTTATAATGGGGAAAATGAACTTGATGTTTCCATATTTCAAGGTTTATCATTGGAGAACTACTCAGATCAGACTAGTTTGAAAGCAAGCAAATTAAAATAATCTTTTTTATAACAACTTTACCCTCTGTAATCTAAGTGAACTCACTTTTATAATATGTGTGTATGTAGGTGTGTATATAGGCATTATTTAAACATGTTAAACATGTATACATATATACTTTATTAAACATTTGCTTGATTCTCCTGTGTATTTGTAGATATGTATATGTGCACATACATTCACCTCCCTTTCTTATTAAACTAACACATTTTATGCAGTCCAAATTATGTTGATTTCTAAGGCTAAAATTATAAAAGCATATTATGACTATTATTAAAATATTTAAGAAGAAACTTTAGGTGGAACAATAGAAGTGGTCATACTTTTGTAAAAAAAAATTGCAAACTTTTGTTAAATGACAAATGACTAGTGTAATATGCTTGCTAACAGGAATTAAATGTGTTAAACTTGATTCTTGCACATAGGCATACATGTACACTCATGCACACACATGCAAGCACATGTGTGAATAAGTACATGTATAAATCCTTACATTATATATGCATGTGGGTATGCATATAAATGTAGATATATGCATACATGGGAGCATCAAGTTTAACAAGTTTAATTAATGTTAGCAGGTATATTGCACTATCATTTGTTATTCAACTAAAGAGATTGCAGTTATTCTTTTGTGTTTTGTTTTGTTTTTATAAAAAATGGGACTACTACATTTGTGCCTTCTAGAGTTTCTTTTTAAATATTTTAATAAAACTCATTTATAAGTACATACTTTTATCATTTTCACCTTGGAGATAAACATAATTTGGGCAGTATAAAGATGTTAATTTAATAAGAAAGAAAAATGAATTGGTATGTACAATGCCAAATAGTGACTAGAGCAACAAATGCATTATGCGTGTCATATTAAACCACTAATTGAATATAAAATTAAAGATGCTATTCAGTGATTTCAGCACACACACACACACACACGTACACACACCAAAAAAAAAAACCCAAAACAAGAACAAATGAAGTAACACTATCTTGGCTTCAGTCTTAATTAAGGTTTTGCTTAGTATTAAACTATACTGGTGTTATGATATTTTTATTTCTTAATTTTTTAAAAATTTTTCAGGGGAATGGTCTCCAAAAGTCAAATGATGGACATATTTTTATTACACTTAAAAATTTATTCTACTTTCTTTGACAATTATGGAAATATGTATATGAAAATGTAATTGTCACTTTGTTAGAACATTATGTAGCTAAAAATTATATCAATGTGCATTTAGCCTTTATATACATGTATAGAAAGCAAAACTTTAGAAGTAAAATCAGAAATTACATTTTTATGAAGACCTCATTGATTCTATATAAATATTGATTTATGTTTATAAATAAAGAAAGTATGTATGTTTGGTCTCCCTCACTTTAAATAAAATCTTCAATTATGACTGTGTCACCAATTTTAGGATGTTATAATTGATATTCACTCACATATGGGTTATTCTATATGGTCTTTAAAGTTCCATCTATTTCTGAGTTTCTTTGATTCTGAAATTGTGTGATTTATTTAGCTTAAGAGAGGCAGAACA